TATTTACACTTTTACTTCCAAATAAGGGTTTTGCCTGGGAGGTATTAGTGGGAGGTTTGGAAGTACACAGTGAGAGGAGTCAATGAGGACTTGTGAGCTGCGGGTGTGGATGCTCCCACATCGCTTCTGAATTCTGAGTAGAATTTGGTTCTCCTTAGACCACCTTCATCCCTGAAATATTTGCTTGTTCCCAGATGGCCCCATATTTCCCTCTGTGATGTGCTGATACTTGTTCTTCCAAGAGCATACTCAGGTGTAATTTCTCCATGATTATGCCTCTTTGTCTTGGTCCATGTAGATTTTATGAAGCCTAGTCTAGGCATGCTGGCCACGTTCATTTACAAAGTATATAATGGAGTCATAGGCATCTCTCATGAGGCAAATTATGTCTAGAAGGGTCATTTCAGCACACAAGGGGATGGCAGGCCAGGGCACACCCCAGCTGTGTATTCTACTCCTCAGGACTTGTATGGGGGCTTTCCTGAGACAAGGCGAAGGAATCTGATCCTATGTGTATCTTTTGCTTCTGGCTGCTAGATTTTGATTAACAGTGACAAAGCAGTACTGGTTCCTTTTCTTGGTAAAGGTAGACACTGTGAAGCGGATTTTATGCCTCCCCCAAGTTCATTAGGGACATGATCATGTCACAAAATGAGTAGGAATTACTGCTTCTTTTATCTGCTCCTCAGCATCACTGGGTAGCTTCATTTTTAATAGTGCTTCCCTGTCCCTGTGACCAGCTTCATAAGAGATCTGCTCATTAACTCTGTGTGACTTGATATTTTCCTCTGTGTGGCTGCCAACCTCCGCTGAAGAACTCTGTTGGAAAAAATCTGGACTCCCATGGAAGCTGGGAAGTGGGCAGAAGGGAACTAGGAGAGACTACAGAAGGAGACAAAAGAAGGCATTTTAGGACAGGGTGTGAGGCTAAGCAGTTTGAAAGTGTAAAGGAGCCACTGAGCCTCCTTTGACAAAAACCTGTCAGAGTTTTTGGTGAACATTCCCAAGTTTGCAAGACCTTCTCTAAACTTTCCAAGACCCATCAGGACCTCTGGCCCACCCTAAATTGACCTATTGGTCATTTTGGCATTGTCATCTCACCAGTGAACAGCTTCCCAAATATGCCTTTCCAAAGTGGACCTGTACACCAGCTCTTGCCAGGATCCACTAAAAGAAACACCCCTCATGCAAAGTTTCTAGATGACTCATTTGGCAGATTTAAAAAAAAAAAAAGTACTAGAGGAATTTTCAACATTGGCATCGCTTACTCTCTTCCACATTGCATTTCTCAAGGTTGGCAGCAGGTCAGATTTAAGTGTGTGTGTGTTTGAAAATGATAATGATCTATAGGAGACAGGACACGTGAGGTAGTTGAAGCCACAAGGACAATCCTTTCTTGGGGGTTTTAGGAAGGAGGCCAAAATCAAATATATTACACACACATCTTTCAGCTTTTGGATATTGAGAAACTTCTGATATGTTCATAGTTAAATTGTATTTACTTTAATTACTAAAAACTTTTTATCTGCATGGAAAGCAATTGTGTCTGTCATCTCTTCAAGGCTACTTGGCACTGCACATTGCCCTTTCTCATGGTTTTTGTCTGGTTTTTTTTTTGCTCTAAGATGTATATATCCACCCTTTTTCATCAGTTCTGTTGTTTTTCTTCAGCTTTTATCAGAATAGCAGCAGAAATCAGAGCCAGTAGTTACGTTTCCCCTTATCTTATAAGGGTCATGATGCTATTTCCCGGTGCACTTACTTTACAGAAGAAATGTCAGACAGTATCAGGTACTGTTCACAAAACAAATATAAATATATAATGCAACAATGAGGTAATAAGTAAGGCTAACCACACTCCTTCATGCATTAGTAGGTGCATCACGAGCAGGTCTAGGGAGGTGATACTTCCCCTCTATGTGGCACTGGTGAGGCTGCAGCTGGAGTACTATGTCCAGTTTTGGGCACCACACTTCAAGAGGGATGTGGATAACCTGGAAAGGGTTTGGAGGAGGGCTACTCATTTGGTTGAGGGCCTGCAGGTAAGACCCTATGAAGAAAGACTGAGGGATCTGAATCTCTTCAGCCTCCACAAGACAAGGCTGCGAGGTGATCGTGTGGCTATCTAGAAACTCATTGGGGGCGGTCAGCAGGGAGTAGGGGATACTCTGTTTACCAGGGCGCCCCTTGGGGTTACTAGAAACAACGGCCATAAACTGAAGGAGAGTAGATTTAAATTGGACATGAGGAAGAAATTGTTTATGATGTAGGTTGCCAAAATATGGAATGGGCTTCCAAGAGAGGTGGTGCTTTCTCCTACCTTAGAGGTGTTCAAAAGGAGTTTAGACAAAGACCTGGCTGGGGTTACTTGACCCCAACGCTCTCTCCTGCACTGAGCAGGGGTTGGACTCGATGATCTAATAGGTCCCTTCCAGCCCTAGAAGTCTATGAAATCTACCTGTTGCAATATGAACAAATAAAGAACAAATACACATTTGTGTAGACACACAAATCACTGGATGAATTCAGACCCCAACTTAAAACTTCGATCCTGAGATGGGAGTCCTGAGATTTATGATTCTACCCATTTAACCTCTAACACTATCAGCCCTGCTTAACAAAGTGAGAACAGGTTTTCCCAGCTGATCCCTTGAGAGAAAAAAGCCCAGTAGGAAAAGGTGGTATAACGGTATCCTTAATCTTTTTTAATATTTCATTTAACTTTCACGTAGTCCTTTTGTGAACACTGCTGGACTAATGGTCTTGGCAACTAGTTTTTCTGTTCATCTACTTGTTAGAGCTAGGACAGCAGCAGTGTAAGGCTCCTCAAATACACTCTGCAACCTTTACCCAAGATTATGGTATCAAGGAAAAAGAGCAACTCAGTTTCCAGGTCTATTTAAACTTTGGTTTGTCTGTTGAGACAACCAACAGGGATACCGGCTAATGAAAGTTATTAGTTTTATGATGTGGACAATTGTCCATTAGGAGCAGCACCAAGCCCACCGTACACCACCACTAGCTCGTGGATGGTTAGTCACTGCCAACTTGGTTTGACAGCTTAGAGGACTCCAAACTCTTAAGCCACCTGTTTCTGTACTAATGAATATTTCTACAACAGCAAATCAGTAAAAGAGCTGTACCCATTTTTAACTGACAAAGAGTAAAATCGTTCTTTTCTCAGGAGTTGTATGTACACCCAAATTTTACTCGGGTATATACCATGAACTTACAGAACGCTTATGGATCATGGGCAAATTCTGTAACTGTCTTGAAGTTTCTGGATTTACATCAGTATATTATTGTGTATATGGGCAGAATTTGGCATGCTGGCCTTTGCAATGCTGGGCATTTTCAGCAGTTCTCCAGCTCTTGTTTTAATACTGCAGGTGCCCCCCAATTATGAGCTGGGGTGGAGGCACTAGTATAGATCAGGGCAGATATTTCCTACAATAAGAGCTGTACAGAACGGCAGAGATGACTCAGCTGCAAAAACACCTGTTGTGTCTACTTTTGTATTCCTACCATTGTTAATGTTAGTCCCAATGGAGCTGCCACATTGCCAGACCAACAGCAGACAAATTGCTAATGTCTGAACCCTATTCCATGATGCAAACAGATTCCAACTGAATTGCTTTTGAAATCATTCATATCTTTAACTTCAAAACCTGCATTGCCTGTTAATGGGCAACCAGATAGATTCCTAATGTTAATTTTGTTAACCTGAGCAAGTGGTCAGTTAGGAATCAAAATATCATTTCCAAAAAAATGATATGTCTATCATGACAATGACATATGTTACCCATATGCACATTATCACATATCTCCTATTGCATTAAAATGGGCATTCTTACAACTAGTGCTATAGAAATGACAGACATTAAAACCAGTCAGAATGTCCAATTCCAAGGGGGGCTTAGGAAGCAAAACACCTAAGTATATACAAGATGGCATCACTTCTGTGTGTGGCGGTCATGGCAGTGCTCAGCTGAGCAGGATTGGGCCTCTAATATATAACTATAAAATTTGGCTTAAAATTTGGATGAGCACGTTAACAGTCTCATGTTTGGAATTAATCTCATCACAAAAAAGGATAATGTAATAACTGCCAACACAACCTACTCACTCCTCAATCAGTGGAATAAATTCATTCAATACAAGTGTTATTATTGAGATAGCAAAGCTAGAACCATGACAATTATGGATAACAATCTACTATTCTGCCTAAAGCACATTTTAGTGGTGGTTTCTTTTCTTTACATAAAAAATCTTTCCAATAAAAACAGTCCAATGTAAATTTCCAAAATGTAGCTGTAGGATATTTTGAAGGAACATTTTGGATCTTTCTAAGTCCAGCAATGAACTAGTTCCACTCCCCTCCTGTTTAAGGTTCTGATTTTCTTCTCATGCTCTACGAACAGTACTAAGTAAGGCAATATCCTGCAGCCCTTCATCAGGTAGAACTCCCCTGGACTCCCACATTTAGAGCGCACATAGAAGAGGGAGCGCTTCAGAGAAAGCATGACTGTATTAAGGTGTGTTTAGCAATAAACGCTGCAAAAGATTCAGGCTTATTTGGCTTATCTCAGAAGCAAATAACTTTGTAATTAAGCCTAAGGACATCTTTCTGTTATTTCAACATGCTAGATAAGTAAGAGTTGCATTGCAACAGGTTTATGTAGGAACTAGATTTAATTGTTCAGACCCTTTGATACAGTTATAGCTGTGTTGGTTCTTCAGTAGAGGAATCCAAAAGATAGCCAAATTAATTTCCTTTACCAGAATGATGCTCATTTCCCCCAAACTTTAACCTGTGACACTTACAGCCTAAAACCCTCCAAGCCAGCAAACTCTTATCAGGAGACAGAAATTTGGAATCTCATTAAAAATGCTAATTACCCAGGCCCAGTGACACTGTCAGATGCAATGGAGAAACAGAATATCTCTATTGATCAAATTACTCACCAACAATGACAGCAATGATGGTTAGGAGCACAAAGGCATTCCTTAGTAAGTAGCTTTTAACATCATCCTTTGTTATGCTCTGCACTTTCTTTTTTGCCATTAATGTACGTTTCCGGACTCCTTGCTGAAAACGCTCCATCCTACTTCCAGATCGTGGATCTTCTCCGTTACTTTTAGTCATCTAGCTCTCAAAAAGTGATTTCTTTTTTCTTTTATATTTTACTTTCGCTAAAAGGTCCCCAGAAAGGCTCAGATTCTTTTGCTTGGGTGGTACTGGAGAAAGCTGCAAAACAAGAAATACCAAAGTATTAAACTTCAGAGGGACAATCAAATATATCAATACACCCAAACAAATCCTTGTTACATATCAATCAGATTCAGGTTATTTAGAATATGTAATCAGTTGATTGCAATAGATAGTGAATAACTGCATATTTGTAAGAAGACTGATTTGTAAGAAGGGTTCTACAGATTTGTTCAGATTTGCATTTCTGTGTCTGTAATGAATGGGCTCAATTCACTTGTCATTTACACTGATGAAAATCAGAAGCAATTTCTGTGCTGTAAAGAGAGCTGCAAAAATGTTAAGCTAGTTTAAGTCAGAGTAGAATAGCTTTCAGCCAGTATTCCAGTTCATGGAGTTAGTGAGCACAGTTTAGTAAGTACTTCAAATTATACTTTTAATAATTTTTTTTTGTTTAAATCAGAACATTTGAATTGTTCTATATTTCTAAATGATTTAATGAATTGCTCCACACTGATTTTCTTCCTGTCATAGGGTGAAAAAACAGTAGGAGTGAGTTATTTATCCCTTTACTTATTAATTTGACAGTTGTATACTAGTGTCATTCATCTTTGAAGTGTGTACTGTATTTCTGATCACATCAATAAAACACCAGAAGATATCAAGCAAAATAATTTCTGGATTTCTGGACATAAATTTGCTGTGTAAACAAAAATCTGAATTAAAAAAAAACTGTTTTGCATAGTGATGCTGTACTATGATTAACATAACTATTCCAGCAGTGCACTGCAATGTTTCATTGCTGGAATGCAAATTTATGAATGGATGTAGCTAGCTGTAACAGCTGAAATCCATTTCTAGATATATAGTTTACATCTTGCCCTCCATAAATCTATTGCCTAACTACTTTTTCAGAAGGCATTTAGAAAGTCCAAGTTTTACAAAAGGAGTTTTTAAGGGGATATCATGTAATTGCTTTTGGAATTCCTGTAAAAGTTAGGTGCATTTGTTCATGTGTTATTCTTTTGGAATTTTAGAACATAGTAATTTGTTTCTTAACAATGTTGCTCACATCTACACATGTTGCTTTCACACATCTCTCTACCATTGCCCTTCTCTATCTTTCCACACCCCTTTAGATTTTATATATACATAAATATATACACCTATACTTTTAAAAGTGAAAGCGCTTATAATATTTACTTGTTCTTTACATAACTTGTTGAAGAATAAAAAAAAAAATAGTTGTTAGGTTGAGTTTAAGGTTTCAACTATTACATACAGCATTACTAAGCTTTGAAGTATGTGTGTCTGAGAGATTTTTCTTCAGAACAATCAGTTTGCAGTATTTTATAGCAAGCTTACAGATTCATCCAGTCCCCTTTTTCTCTCCTAGACCATTAAAGCAACCTCATCCCAATGTGGTGTTTCTAATTAAGATTAACATCATGAAAAAGCCTTAAGTATAGCCAAGTAATCATTACAGAGCAACTGATCTAGAAAAGTATTTTGCAGATGACGAGGGTGAAAAGCAAAAACTGCTGAAACAATAAAACAAACACCAAGCTCACCTTTTCAAATTCTGCCAGACTCCTCGGGTGCAAGAACCAGCAAAGTAAATTTCCCAGTAAGGTGAAGTAGAGTTGCGAAATTCAGTGAGCAAGAGACAGAGAAGGATAACGATATGCATGTGTTCTCAGTACAGCAACTTACTATTTCTGTAACTTAAGAAAAGGGGAGGGGACTATTAGCCCAACTCTGGAAAAAAAATTGAAAACCCAAAAGAAGAGGGGAAAAAAGCTGAGCTTCTGGAATATTGATTAGTTTTGGCACAGTAAAAACAGGGTCGTTTTCTTTGTTTTTCCCTTTAGACCACTTTCACGCTTTGTCAGTTCAGCTTCATTAGAAATGCAAAATCAGGACCCAGGAAGAACTGAAGAATGACACACACATACACAACCCAGAAAGCTGGAAGCCGTCTTGATTAGACATTTCAAATGGAGTCTGTAAAACCTAAGCATAATTATATAACATTATTCCAATATTTTTTTAAATGATGAAATACGAGGCTATTCTGCTCTGAAAAGAAAAAAAAGCAAACATTGTGGTTTGGAGCTGTGAAGTGTTTTCTAATCTTTAATGATAGTTATTTAAGGAAATGACTTTTTTGTGGGGTGGGGAACTACCCTCATATCTCTCAAGAGCAACTGGCAGAAAAATAGGATCAGATATTATTCTTTGTAATTTCCACGTAAATATTTGAAAAGCAAGATGAGGCTTGTAGTTCAGAGGAAGTCCCATCCAGCTTAGATTACTTTCAGTGTAGTGTGTAAATTATAAAAGGAAATATACTAAATACCCAGATTTCCCCAAGAAACCTGTGGCTTTTGGCACTTTTCTGTTTTGTTCTTTTCTTTCTGTTCTTTTCTTTTCTGTTCTTTTCCTGTCTAGTTTTCACAATTGGAAGGATATTTTCTTTGAGGGGGAGAGAGGGGTTGATCTCATAAGAAAAGAAGAAAAAAATGAATATTCTACTGTTTAGGAGAAGATTTTTATTTTACATGCTGGTTTGGTCTTTGTAAGATGCTGTGTGATCACGCCAAGTTTTCTATGTACTGGAAGCTTTTGGATGATTCCTGAGCTGTGAATTTGTATTAAGACCTCAGGATGAAAACAGTTGCAATATGTGCTAAGAATATTATTACATGCCACACTGATTAATTCTACTATTATATCAAAGGATTGAACATTGATTAATATGCTTTTTCTAAAAAAGTTATAAAATAGGTTCTAATCTTCTTCCAAACTAGACATCATGCAAAGATAAAAGAATGTTAGAAAAATGGAATTTGTGGGATTAAAATTGCATCCCAAAAACCACACTAATGGTTTTGCTTTCTTCTGTAGGGAGCATTTCTATGTTCACCTTGTTAATGTGCCTGATTTCAGCTCACATTATAGATCTGAACTGAGGAGTTTCTCAAAAGATTTCTATCTTTTTCCCTCTTTTAACGAGTAAATGGGAAATTACTGTTTACTCTTCAAGAACAAAAATGCTTTTAATTAATTTAGGTTCAAATTCTGAGTATGGCCTAAAGAATCTGGCACTTAGATAACATACAAGTAAAGAAAACCAACATGAAAACTGAACTCATTTTAAACAGAATGAAGTAGATTATAAATATAGGTTTAGTGAATTAAAATGACCTTATTTATTATCCATTTTAATAAAAAGAGCAAGAGAGAGTGGATAATTTGCGATGTTGCATGTTGAATAGTGATTTTTCTTTGACCCAACTTGTTGGGCTTTATCTCCTGATCAGAGTTCCTATATAGCCCATCCATCAACTTGAAGGTGTTTTTCATACTGCCATTTTAAATACTTTCATCATTCAGCCTGAAATAGGAATTTGACCTTATAACTGACCTGGCCTTAGTGATCTGCTTTTGTTTGAGTTTCCGTTTGGAGGCCGGCAAGCCATCTGTGGAACTTCCCAAACAGGGACTTGAACCTGTACTTACTGAAATGAACTCTAAAGCTCCCACTGATTTCAATGGGACAAGATCAGGCGCCAAAGCAGGTGATTTGGATGTTGTCATTTCATTTCCAGTGAGTTTTAGGAGTGTGTAATGTTCTCCCATGAAAGAAAATTAATTGACCATTGAGACTTAATGAGAAAGTGAACAAAAGGTGGTCTCACAGTTTAGCATTTTAAATTCAGCCCATGATCTTTTTTTTTTTTTTTTTTTTTTTTTTTTTTTTAGTTCTTGTTGCGTGTTATCTTGGTAAAACATATTATATAAGTCATTATTGTTTCTGCTTACAGCAACATACCACTGAGTAATCTTTGAGTATCCTGTGATTGATTGAATATGCTCTCTCATTTTCTCTTTCTGCCTATATATGTTCCTACTATGTTTTACTCTGACACCCCAATTTAAATACAATCTGTTATTGCTGTGTGAAATGACACAGTACAGTATAAAGAAAAAGGGGGTGAATTGTTTTAAATAACTGGAGATAGTGTGTGAGCCACAGTGAAGCACACAAAGTGATATTCACTTCAATGTACTCATTAAGTTTTCACTATACATACAACAAAACTGGTACTAGAATTAGTTTTTAAATCTTATCTGTTAAGCAGTTGTGCCTTGGTCAATAAATTCCAGTAATTCTAGTGGTTTCCTTGTTTCTGGGAATAGTTACTTAAAACAGGACAATGTTTGACTGAAGTTAGTCAACAGAAGGAATATAAGAAAGAAGAGCCAGTTTGTCTTGTGGTGAGAATAAGGGAATGTGAATCAGGAGAGTTGTAATATATGCCACTGAGTCATTATTTGGCACTAGCAAAATAACATGAATTTCTGTGTGCCTCAGTTTCCCTTGGAGTGGAATGGAAATAGTGCTTTTGAAAAAGCACCGTCTTAGGTCTCATTAGGGCCCATCACCAAAGTATGTGAGGGCTTTTGCCAACAGTTTGAGGTAGATCCTTGGTTGAAAGGTGCCATGTTAACCATAGAGTATTGTTGTTATCTCTCAAGAGACATATCAAACAGCAACCCACTCAGGTCAGCTCTAGAAAACATAAGAGCAACAAATAACAAACTTCAGTATTAGCAGCTTCATTTCTTGAATAATAACAGAAAATGTAACACAGATGAGTATGTTGATTCCTGTTGAAATATACTGTTAAACTATTTGAAGTGAGTGCATTCTTCTCATTAAGCAGATTAGCACTAGGCACTTGTGCAGAATGAATCTTAAAAGTTTTTATTCTAATTATCTTATAACAAAAACAAACAAAAAAACCAGAATAGAAATTGCATTAGAATTGGTTCTTATATATAGTTTCTGATCTATTAGATAATATTCTTACTAATCATCCTGAGGCCTCAGAGCACCTTAATCATATGGATAAGTAACATGAACTTGCTGTCCTGATGGGAAAGTTGAGATTCATAAATGTTATGACTAGTTCATTATGACAAAGTGGCAGAGATAGGGCACATAGTAAGGCCTCCTGAACTTATGCCTAACCCTTATCCATGGAGCCACGTTGCTTATTCTGTTTTAGATTGTTTTGGAAGCTTTATGTCTCAGTCTGGGTATGTTAACATGGGAGAGTTTGTGGGTAGATGAAATATTGTGGGTTTTTCTATTGAAAGCTGTTCAGTCATCTTCTGTTTATTATAGTGGAATTTAATATACCTGTATTTTGGCTGAACTTATGTGGAGACTGTGCTATACTAATCATTAACTATCAAATCCAGATTTTGTTATTATTAATGTCAAAATTCATATTGAAGCCAGCAGGACCCAAATATGGCTCTTTCCTTTATGTGCTCTATAAACATTGGAGAATATGTTAACAAAGCCTATCTAATACTTTAATACTTGGGGTTTTCTTCCACTTAAACAAATGCTCTAGTGTTGAAAGTATGAAAGAGGGAATCAAATTTCAATTCATACCAAAAATAAAGGGCATTTTTACATGTGCTCCGAGAGGCGCGCTAATTTAAAAGCACCTGAGTATCATGTGTATCAGTGTCTCTGCACTGAAGAATGGCGGTGGGGCGCTTTGAACTAAAGCTTATCCAATGAGCACTTCACTGCCATTTTTCAGCGTGGGGTTGCTGATACATGTGATGCTATAATCTGTCGGAGTCTGTTAATTTACGTGCTCCAGCAGACTTGATTATGATGTGTTGGATTTCCAGTGCATCAGAGCAAACTCCCTGCACATGTCTAGGAGCCCCAAATAGCTAAGTTTTCTGTAGGGGTATTCTGGAATTTCCTTCATGGGTAAGAGGTACTGTTTGATTGTATTTGAAAACATAAGGCATCACCTGACAAGATAAAATTACATGCTCTGAAAACTACTGAATTTATGTAGACTATCTGATATCTTATAATTGAACATACCTGATTCCATGGTTAGTTATGTTATGGACACCTGCCTATTTGATTTTGCCTTGGGATTGCTTTAATTTAATTTACCAGACAAAATTTTTTAAAAAGTTTGTGCTTACCAGTTTTCACCTTGCAGGCATACCCAATGTCTTCTATTCAAATAGCAGGGGCCATCTGAAAAATCAGCTAATGGTGACCGTTTTATGATGACCATGATATGTCATGTTATTTTAAAGTTCCTGCACTGACTTGCATTCTTCCTGTGGTATGGATTGGGTACACATTTTTTCTATGTAATCTGCCATACCAGAAACAAGAGTGCTTGCTGTCCTATGCAGGATGAGGTTCAAACCCAATCCTTTATTTATTACTTAACCATATATATTAATCTGAAATCCTTTTCTACAACACAGTTATGAATAACTGAAATTCTATTATTTAGGTAATATTTTCATGGGTGTTTACAAACACCAATGCAGAACTGTGTTAGCAAACAAGGTTCCCTTTCACAAAATGTGTGTGTTTGGTTGGAAGCCTCCATTTTCCCTTCAGTGCAAATCAACATTTACAGCCAGAGAAGTTGGAGTGGCAGTATCTTTTAGGATAGTGCATCATGTTCTCTATGGTGCTCTGATGTGTTCTGAGAGTCAGTGCAAAACATGGCAACGGGGATATAGTTCAGTTATAATCTGAACAATTTTCTTGGCAAGAACAACAGGAAATTTTTCTCCCAATGGAGGATTCTAGCATCAACCCTGCAGGAGGATGGGGTTGGGGAGGCAGCATACATTAAGGGTACGTGCAGACATCCCCAGAACCCATTCGATGGTCATCTGGCTTTAAGCTGCATGATCATAGATTGGGGCTTGCTTATCCAGAGATTCACCATTGCTGGGAGCTGCACTGGGAACATGATCTACGTAAATTAAGATGGAGGGAGGGGTGGACTGGATTGGGGGAGCAGGGGGCTAGTGGGCCCACAGAGGGGGTTGTCTGGATTGGGAAGGACTGGGGGGTTTGCTGGGGAATGGTGGGTTCATAGGGGAGGGAGTTCAGGGGGCTAAAAACAGCCTGGTGAGAGTAACGTGGTAGGAAAAGCACAGCCCTGGCACTGGGGTGAGTGGCTGAGCTTTTCCAGCCTTGGGGCTACACTCTGAACATGTATAGACATTTGGTAGATCAGGCTAGCGCATCCCCAATCTAACTTGGTGAACCTTCTCAGGTGAAGTTAGTTAAATTAGGCTGGCCGTTTTTTCCCCAATCTAACCTCCCCAAACATATTAGAATATAGATCGACCTGACCTGAGTTAGGTCATTTTAAGTGTAACGTCTGCACATACCTTAAACAGTCACTACACTGAATAACTTTGCAATTTAAGAATATGTAGGTGCTGGGAAAGAGGAGAGAGAACCTCTTTTTTGCATCAGCTTGGCAAAAGATCTCCATGGTGCAGATATCTTCAGCATGAAACTTCCTTTTAGTAACTTCAGCATCTCTTTCTCCTGTCATCGGCAGCAAACCAATGTGATCTACGTGAGTGAAGTTGGGAATGACAGTACAGAGGGACCATTCTATTGATGATGGGGAATAAGAGACAATTATACAATCCTACCGATCCACCAACACAGTGGTATTCTGGGACCATAACCTTAGGTAAAACAGTTGCTAACATGCCCAGTCTGATCTGTGGGACTCATTTTCAGTGCTTTGTATCTAAATTGGTACTTAGGGGCTGATTGCAGTGCTTATTACCATTATTGCGCTGTTCCTGGTGACTCTAGCCAGCCAATAAATTCCCTTAATATTTTTTATTTCTGTTCTCTAATACCTTTTAACTCTTAATTAAACAATATTGAAAAGTTTTTTGCCATGAATGTAAATTTTGATTTTTTGCCAAAAGTGCTAACGTGAAGGCTGCATACTCAAAATGAAACGTTCTTCCCTGTACCATGAAAGTTCCCAGTGGAGAAACCTTAACCTTGGCTATCTCTGTTCAGTGTTATAGAATGGGTGGACCCAAACATAGACTGTAATGCCTGATTATAGTTGAATAGCAACCTTGTTTCCTTTAAGCATATGGAGCCAGATCCTTTCCCTCCTGGGATTTGGGGGCAGGTAACCTGGAGAAGTTACACAAGTAGAGAATGTGATCTGTGGCTTTCGCTCCTGAGCATTACTTCAAGATCCTCCCCATACAACAAGCAGGGGCCTCCAGAACATGACCACAAGTGAGTATTAGTGTCCTACTAGAAATTTCTTCAATGATGTTTCTGGTTCCAAGTTTCCTTATATTGCAGTGTGGCTTCAATGAGGGATCTTTGACAGCTTGCTGCCTCTTAAGTGGGTGCCAACACAGAGAACACATGGAATAGCCGGTGCAGGCTTGGGGCTGGATTATGGGGCTACCCTGCATCTGGAATCCTGCTTTGCCCTCCCTTTTTGGATCCTTCTTTTGCAGCTTGATCTCTAATCCCCAGGAAATGTAATAGCTGCAAATCCTCAGGAAATGTATTAGCTGAGGAATGTACCTTGCAATGGGAGTTTGCACATTTTAGGATCACTGCTGGTGTAGATGGTAGAGAGAGAGAACTACAGCATTGCCCCCGCTGTCCCTTTCATGAGGACACATGCTGTTGTTGGCACTAGCTGTATTTTGTGTGCATGCTCCCCAGTTACATCATGGCAGGCCTCAGTGCCTACAGCACAGGAAGGAATATGCTTATTATTCACTTTCTGTCATCCTTGAGCATCTGCTTGGGAAAACCATGATTTGTCTCATAGTTTGTACTGCCGTATTTACCCCAGTCCAAGGCAAATCTGAATTTAAGATGACACCCCAATAATTAGATTCTATAAATAAGGGGGGAATTGTAGAGGTCAGCTAGTAGGGGGAAGGGTGGTTGTCAGGCACTGAGGGGCAGGCAGCTTGGTCCCTACCCCTTGAACCCCTGCACCTTAACTCCTCCTGCTTGTTCCCCCCTACTTGTCTCCCCTTGATGCCTTTCTCCCTCCAGCACCTGTCCTACTCCCGTGTCCTCTCTGGTGCTTGCCCCCCGCCCATGCCTGTACCTCCTGGCACCTGCCCCCATCACTGAATCCCCCTGCAGCCTCTGACCCCTGCCACCATTACCTTCCAGCCCCACTCCAGCCTGGGGAATAGAGCATGTGTTTTCTCTGGCCCTAGCCTGGCCTGGTAGCAGTGGTGGCATTGTCAGTAGCTCTGGCCCAGGTTTGGGGGCTTGTCTGGAGCTACTGCTGCCACATCAGTAGTTACTGGAATGGGGCTAAAACAACACATGCTCCATGGGTGGAGAGGGGCCAGAGCCTGCCAGAACTGGAGGGTAAGTGGCAGAGTGAGGGGTAGGTGGGGGTAGAGGCTGTGGGGGTGTGTGAGAGATGAGAGGGAGGGGAGGGGCAGAGGTGGTGTGATGGTAGACAGCAGCTGTGGATCTGACCCTGTGGATCTGACCCCAGATCAGGAGTGGAGCCAAACCTGTAGTCACAGCAGCTGTCTGCCCCGTGCCACCTTGTACTTAAATGGTGGCATGCTGCTTCCTAGCTTGCTCCACCATTGCCCCCAGTGTCTTTGCAAAACCCCTGGTGACATATTACACAACTCCAAGGTTCTGCAAACACAGTTTGAAAACCAGTGCCTTACAGGGTGGAAGGGGACAGGTGTGTTTTCTAGTCCCACAGCTCATTCTCCCACCCCATAGATTAAAGAGGTGTGAATTTGTGGAGGTAGCACAGAGTATGATTTGATCCGTCTAATGTTGCCTCAGCATCCTCTACCAAAGCAGGACAGACTGTTCCGATGGCTGGGAAGAATGTGAAAAGTGGTACTACTTATTTCTAAAATGTGGATTTGAGTACCATCTCTCTATGATCCTAAACCACAGAAGTACTGCTCTATAAATCAGCTTTTGCCTACAGTTGTACCTATAATGAAATGACAATATATAAATTAAAAGTGTTATGAATTCTGGTTGCTTTTTGCAATATCAAATAAAGCATAAATGTAGAGAGAATCAACCATTTAAATAAAGCTTAATTAAAGAAACTCATTTATTTGGAACATTATGGCAATGTGACTTTTAAAATATTTGTTTACTCTTATAGAATTGTAATTGCAGGAATTGAGACACGTAAAAATCTTTAGTAAAAATAATTACAATTTAAAAGCACGCCCCTCAAAGTAGTTGTTATAATAATGACTGTTATAGCAACTGTTTAGCATTTGGACTTTTTTGGCAGGAGAGTTATACATTGTTTATTGTGAGAGAGAAGCAGGCTCTGAGAAAACATGCAAATTTTTAGCATGAGAAACCAGCTTCAGGTTTAGAAAACTGAATGGCAAAAAGCCTTTTGTGCGCCTGTCTGTGTGTATAATCAGTCTATATCAGCCAAGATGATTTCAAATCATTAAGGTTTGCTGATTGGTTTCTGTTTTGTATAATGCAAGAAAAATCTCTAAATGTCACTCCGCCTTGTAGTATCCCTGGCATCCAGATGTACAGGGTGTTTGGTAGGCAGACATTTTGCCTCTCTGCTTTTCATTTTGAGATACTGTGCTCTGCTGGGGCCTTATCCAATGCTCATAGAAGTTATAAGGAACCTTTTCATTTCTTTAAAAGAGTATTAGATGAGACCCTTCACATCCATTATACTTTCTCCATTTTGAAGGATGGTCAAGGTACTTTCTTTAGACTCTATGAAAATTAGGTCTATAAAGGAGTTAGGCCAGTGAACAAGGGCTTGTTTCCCTCCTCCCCCTCAAAGATCAGATCTTTCACTTGCAAGAAGTACGAGTCAGAGCATTCCTACTTTCATTTATCAGATCAACGTGCCTGAGGTGATTTGCAAAATGTATTTAGAATGATCATGTTTTTAGATATCATATATTTCACTTTTGTTTAGATGCATCTTTTTTATTTTGAATCATATCAGCAAATGTGACAGCTATACTATATATTATTTATTTAGTACAAAACTTATGTTATAATCATGAAAACAAAAATACGACCAGTAGCCAGGTGCATACCAGGAAATTTGACCAAAATAGGAAGAGAGTAGGGCAGAATGACATCTTAGAAACTAACTGGTTTAGAGAGGCATGATCTTTCGAAGTAAATGACCTACTTCATCAGATGCTAGAATGGATTAGATTTAGACTGTGCATTCCTACCATTGGACAAAGTAGGTTGTTGCCTGCAAAGGCGCACACCTGTCTTGACCAGTTAGTGTGAAGGGTGCTACTACCTTCTGCCTGATTCCTGACTAACATGGCTAATCCTTTCTGTGCTTACAAAAAAAACCCTACATCAAAGGTATGACCTGAATAGCTGAGGGCCAGAAGTTGAGGGTCAAGGTTACAAGAAGTCCAGAAGCCAACGCTGAAGGCCATAGTAGTAGGTGTCAGTTCGAGTCTGAGATATCATGGTAAGAACTGAGATGGGTACAAGGTCAAGACTGGGCACTAAAGATCCAGAGTACAGGGTAATCAGGAGTGAGGTACTGGAGTCCAAGGCAGGGGTGAAGCAGGTAAAAGAGTCAATGGTTGAAGCCAAGGCAGAACAGTCCCAAGGAACAAGGTTTGATGTTCAGATACCTGTGGGTGGTGCTGCAGCCCAGGCTTCTGCTCTTGAGTTCAGAAGACCTGGTTTGAGTCCCAGGGGTCCTGACACCCTAACTATATCCTGCCCCACCCACATATGTATTAGTTTTAAAATTGAATTTGCTTTTGTTTTACCATTAGTGTTTAAATAATGGCAGCAGAATGGTAATGATATTTCTGCTGTGGAATGCATACATTGGTCCCATATGCTCTTGCAGTGACCTTTAGCACTAATTGTATTTACTCTGAAGATGTATACAATTTTGCACAGAGCAAACACCTGAAGGACTAAGGCCTGGAGGTTGACCTAATCTGCTGTTCTCAGTTCCCATCACATCTTAAATTGTGCTACCAGTTAAATCTATCAGAAACTTGCATAGTCATGTTTGGTGAAGATTAAGGGTGTTTTTCTTTTCAAGTATGGCCAAAACAAAGGCTAATGGTTTTCATAAGTAACTGCTTAGTCACATGTGATTTGAAAAGAATAACATTGCTTGCTCTGATCTTTCACTAAGTTGAAAATAAAAATAAAGCCATGCAGTACTTTTTTAACCTTCAGAAAGGTCCTCAGTACAAATTGGAGGGATGGCGGGTCTGTCTGATGCCCTGAAAATGTGGTGAAGCCTGAGGTGCTGGATGCTGCTTCTTCCCCTATCTGTATAAAGTGACCAGATTTCCACAGGAGCAGTGCTTCTCAGTTTGCCTGCCAATTCCTGTATCCAAAAAGCCACGGTCTCACCTTCACAAGCCCGCTCACCCATTATTTCTCACTCCCGCAGGTCTGGATTTTACTCAGTCTTTCACTCCCACTGTTGTCCATTCTGTCATTCACCTAGTCTCATCTGCTCTTGCACCCTTTCGGGTCCTCCTTTGGGCTGATTCTTTCATTTATCTTGTCCTTCTCCCACCTATATATCTTGCACTCTCTACTGTCCTTCTGTTGCAGAACTGCTCCCCAAGTCCAGTCCAATGATCTCCCTGCCCTTGTTCCCCCTCTGTCCTCCATTATTTTTCTGGTTCCATCTTACTTAGGGACAGACCTTATTTTCAATTAAATCAATCATGGACTTCTGTGGGAGAAAATCTGAGTCTTTTAAATCTGTTCCCTAAAGACCTCACTCCCATTTGGTTCTTCAACTTCTAATTCCAGGTCATACTGTATTTTATA